ATTAAATGACCAACCAAGAAATCTCAGTGTGTTTAATTATGATCTGCCTGGTTTAAAGGAAGAAAAAAGAGCAAAATGAAATGTCATCTATAGGTCATGTATTTATTTCAGTGCAAAAAGACTAGAATGAGTTTTAAAGTGTGACAACCTGTTTGGGTCTTGTGTAAAACAAAATGAAGAACAGAAAGAAAGATCATTTTAATCTCAGGCGTAGGTACTTGCTTTAGACCGAGTTATTTAAACACTAATTTTCTTTCAGTCCTTCTTTACTACTGTGTAAATAGAACGTGCTTTTAAATTTGTTTAGAAATTGGTATTAAAACAATTCACTTTACATATTACATTCCCATTGAAGAGTATAAAGAGTACTTTTTTGCAAAAACAAAAGTCGAGCAGGACAATACTGAAAGTCATTTTAATAGTTTTATGTAGTATGTTATTTACATAAAAATGAAAATATGCAGATAGTGGCTTCCCTTTTTTTTCTTGGCTAATATTCAATTACATATATTCAATATGTTAAAGTTTGAGGGCCATTAGCTAGAATTCATTGCTGAATTCTGAAAACATGGAATAACATGTAGTATATTATGCCAAATTAGAATTCTGGGCATATCTAATAAATGGATTATTTATAAAAAATAAAATATTTTTCTGCCTTTACCCAGAAAGGAAAGAAACACATCATTAATTTAAACTTAGAGAAGGGTTAATTTGGATAATTGTAGATATCTTTGGTGTTCATATGTTGTGGCTTACTTGAGTAACATGAATATGTGGGTTTCAGTATCAAAATTTAATATTCAAGTGTCCATAGAAACAATCTGACTGAAAACACAGATAAAGTATATATTTAAAATATAGGAGATAATAGAGATATTAGGACATTTTATTTTGAGAGGCACACTTAAAAATTATTCAGAGATGCTGTATTACGAAATACACTCCAGCCCTTTTTGGCATTTTCATTGTTTAAGTAAACAGATTCAATTTTTAAAATATATAACCACACATGACCATCAGAAAAGTAGTCCTGTGTCATGAATTCAATAAGAGATTTGAGTCACTATGTACTTTAAGGTGTCCTCATGATAATTACAAGAATTTTTTTTGAAATAACATCAGATTTAATTAACCATAAATTATTTTTGCAACATGAAAAGAAGTTATAAAGTCACCTGGTGCTGGTAAAAACTGTTTCTTAATTTTAAAAAGCCCCAGTCAATATAATGCCAAAGTGAGTGTCCATAGTAATGGAGTTAAACATTATAAATTATGCTGATTTGTTTTATCATGCTGGTTTGGGACTCAGTATTCAGCCTATGGAGCCTAGAGACTGTGCAATAAGTAAAAATTACGTAATAAAACATAAAAATTCTAACCTAATAGTACAGAAATAACTGTTTGACATCTTATAATTCTGTAAAGAAAAGGCCACAAAACACATCTTCTGGTTACAAAACAAAAGTCCAATAAATGTACCTTTGCATGGCTGACTTTGAAGTCCTTCCTTATAAATGGCTAATGCATTTTGCATTTTTTGGTCATTTTCCCCAAGTGCCTTTCAGTTGTAACAATCTGAGTTTAGTTTCCTAAGAAAGAAGCCCCTCTTTCTCATTCGTCACATCTAAGAGGTTAGAGAGTATGTTTAAACAGATACATTTTCTTTTCGTCTAACCTTGTCTGGAAGATATAGGAAAACTAATTTGCCTTATTTACATATGGCACAATCTATCCAGTATTCAAGGGTTTGTCAGAAACAGGAACCTTGTGCATTTCCATGGTAACCGATGGCATGCTGACAGTATCTGGCTTGTTGCAGCTTCGTCTAGGCAGGCCGGCAATTAATCAGCCATCTACATGCACAAAATTCTTTGTGAGTGAATGGCAGCGCGCCTCTGTAGTGCTGTCTGTGCTTTTACAATTTTGTATTCCTGCCGGGCAAAGTACTTTTTTGTCTCTTCTATTCATTTTCCATAGCTCCCCAAAATGTGTTAGAAAAGAGTATGAGGGGGTGCGGAAGGGTAACACATGTACCTGTAATTGCAAAATGACCTTATTTCTTCTTAGCATCAAATATGCCAGGGTGTGTTTCTTCCTTTTATTCCATGCCTCATAGTGGGTTTGCCTTTTATTTTATTCTGGGTTTTCTTGGATTTGCGCTAGATGGTCCCTTAATCTGTGTCTCAAGGTCCTTTATTGTTGGTGCAAGTAGAGCATACCTACCAAAGCAGGTCTGTGCATAAATTATGGCTCAGCCCGTGTCATGCAGTGTCGTAGCCTTGGAGTCCCTTTACACCACTTATCTGGTTCTATCTTCTCAGCTACGTGGAAGGTATAGTAGTGCCATTTTGCAGACTAAGATACAGAGAAATTAAATGATTCAGCCAGCTTTCGTGGGATGTTTGGGATGAAGCACTCCAGCGCTCTTACCTCTGTGTCAACGTGGAGATGCTGGCAGTCCCCTTTTATGTATAATGATGTTTTAAGGTATAGAAATCACTATGATTTCACATCAGTATTCTGGCATTTTCTTTCTCAAAAAATAGTCCCATTGAATCTATTTATTTGGGACCATATATCTTCTAGGATCTGGACACAAGCATGAGTAAGTTATCAGTTTGGGCCTTAGGTGGTTACTAGAAAGCTGTGTTTGAATTCTGCCTGTAATTCTGACTATGTCACATCTAGTGAAGCCATCTAGCCTCATTCTCTGTGGAAAAAAAGGGAATTGATTTGATTATCTTCAACCGTCCACCCAGCACAGAAATTCTGTGATTCTCCATGTTTTCTAGGACATTACTTTGGATAGTTAAAAGTAATTTGGATACGTCAAAATTAAGATCCATAATTCATTCAGTCTTTTGTCCTTGAAAGATGACAGAATAATTTGCATCGAATTGAATTGAATAAATTTCTTTTTCAAAAAGGAAAAAGAAAGATTTGACATCTGGGTGGCTGACAAATCTCAGAAGGTCAAAGCTCATTGAAATCAGATTTGGACATTTGCATTCCCACAGATTGCACATGGCAAAAAATCCAGTTGCCTTCAAACTTAAGTTTAAGCAAAACATCTTTAAAAAACTAGGTGTATTGGAACCTAGATCTATTAAGTTTTTGAAAAGTTTTGTGCATTGGAAGAAAAGTTTTTGTCGGGAGTTTTAATGTAAAAAGAAAAGTGGCAAGGAAGGTGTTTACTTATAGAAGAAAATGCAGGTGATTTTTGTTATCCTTTGGAAATCTAAAGTTATTGTATTGATTTTTAAAAGTCATTTCATTAGTGTAGAATGCAAATATAAATATATATTTTATATACAACTATCCTTTTCATAAGTTTACTTTTTATTAAATTTATTTATTCAAGAAAGAATTATGTATTACGTAATTTTTCTTTAAATTTGGAAAGTAAAAGGAGACCTCAATTTGGAAGTATTTGGATAATATAAAAATAAGGATGCTCTTTTATACAAATATTTGCCAATCAGTATTTCAACTCTGTTTCATTCATATTATTAATGATCAAGTCTCTAGTACAACGGCTTTCTCCAACTTCGTCTTTTTGTTAAAAAAAAAAAAAAAAAAAAGTTGAAGTGTGAGCACAAAGCTTGTGTTTTGCTCTGACCCACAATTGTCCATCCTTTTGTAAGTGCTGACAAGGGCTCCACTTATTCCTCCATACTCAGTTTCTCTTACTTGTTTATGTGCTAATTATAATACACTAAATAATGTTTGATTTAACATTTTAACCTATTTTAAAATATCCTATTTCTCCAGGGTTCAGTTAAATTTGTCAATAGTATTCCAAAATAGAATATTGTTGTCCTTACAATTAAGTCCTTTTTTCTTATGATTTTGGATGTCTTGTGTCCATACAAGAAGTGTATCTATTTTTTTAAATACGCTGTGGCTCATAGTATGTGGTCGCTGTAAATTTTTGCTGCTGATAGGAGAGCCAGGCAAAAACTGTCTCTACATGACGTGTTACCATGAGCTTTTGCATATTCTCCTTCAATTTCTTCTCACTTCTATTTCTCCTTCATGTTGTCTTGGACCTCTTTTATTTAAGAAGGTATTCTATCACACCATTCACTTGGTCATTCAACAAGTATTTATTCAGCTCCATTATTTGGATGTTTGGAAATCCACCAGCACTACTACCACTTAACAATAATCCAATATATAAAAAATCTTCTCCATAGTAGAAATTATTCTCATTGGTGTCTAATTTGAATATAACAGATTGAAATTATGTAGCAATTAATTACTTTCAGATGTAACTTTACCTAATTTTTTATTTTATTGACTATAAAGTTATAATAATAGCACTTAATTTGTAGTTTTGTTAGGATTAAAGTGTGTAATGCACCTTGCAGGTTTACATTCTCAGAAATGATGGGCTACTACTGCTGAAGTAGTCAATTCACAGAAACAAAAAGCAGAATGGTGGCCACTAGCATCTGGGAGGAGGGAGAATGCGGAGTGACTGCTTACAGTGCAAGATCTCCTTTGGGGGGTGATTAAAAACTGTTAACATGTACACGTTAATGGATACATTTATGGTATTTGAATTATATCTCGATAAAGCTATTTTTTAAGCTAATATTAAAGCTTGGAGAATTTTACACAAAATTCCAGATTGAATTCTCTTGAAAAATCCTATAATCTGACACCACAAACCACATGGTTTCTCACGGGGCTCTTCATGTTTAAGGAGTACAGAGTTTTAAATTTGCAAGATAAAGTGTTCTAGAGATCTGTTTCATAATAATGTAAATATACTTAGCACTACTGAACTGTACACTTAAAAATGATTAAGATGATAATTTTTGTTAGAGTTTTTTTTACTACAATAAGAAATACACAGAAGAGTTGTTCAAAAAATGGTGGAAGTATTTGTTGATAATATTGTTATGAATGTTTTTCTAATTATTATCTCGGTCACTATTCTTACTAACTTAGAAGTCCTTAGTTTATTGTGGTGGTGAGGTAGAGGCAGAAAACTCTGGATTAATAGAACTTATTAATGATATGTTTTAGAACAAGCCATATATAATCATGATATTTGATTACTTTTGACCTACAAAAATAGTAATTTTATATGACTTAAGCTAGCACTTGTGAAAATATCTTAATGTTACTAGAGTGTGGCTTATTGATTTGCTTTCAGAGACCTTAAATTTTAATACAAAATATACTTTCTTTTAGCTCCTTTATCCCCACTTCAGGGCCAGTATATAACATTTGATTTCTGGCTGTTCCCTTTTCTGATGGTGTGATCTTCAGCCTTGGTTTTCTTATCTGTAAAGTGAAGAAGATAAATAGAATTGTGATCAAGCTTTACTTTATTGATGGATTTACTGTTGTGAATAGTTTGCATAATTTTTCCTATACATTGTTGATCTGGGGAGGGGCAAGGGGTAGAAAGAGGAGAATGTTTTAGGAACCAAAAATACATTCATCTTCCCTCAGAATATTTCACCTGTTTTTATTCCATTCCCTCTACCTATTTCCCTTACCTCAGAGTCACCCTCATCCTACATATGGGGCAGAACTCACCTTTCCCACCTGACTCTGTCATGCTCCCAGGGTCCAACAAGAGGTGATTAGAAGGGGAGTGCAGGGGACTCCCAGGACCTGGGTATAGGTTCCAGCCCCCACAGGCTCCATTGGTCATCTTGGTCAGTCATTGCCCATTTGAAGAGTGTGGAGAAGATCAGGGGGTTCTAAAACCTTCAGGTTTTAACCAGTCTAAGATAAAATGAGGCAAATAAAGATAATATTTATATAGCTATAGCATTGTAATCTATTTTATATTTGTAGCTACATCTGTATTGCTATAAAGTTATGCCAGTCCTTCCTTAAGAAAGGCTATTCTTTCTACTAAGATGATGTTTTTCTACTTTTTTTTTTTTTTTGCTTTCCAAATGTCTTGCCATTTATGAAATCATAGGTGAATGGATGATGGGCTTTATGTGACACCCTCACTTGGCAAAATGAAAACCTTTGCTTTGTAGAATCTAAAAGTCAGAACCTTATGGATTCATTAAGTCTAAGGACTTTCCTCAATTTAACATTCTATTATTTGAGAATTCATTTGAACTGTAGATCCTTAAGTGGTTTCTCAGCCTGAGGATCAGAGAGGTTTCATGGTCTCAATGAAATCAGCATTTTTTTCATGTTTTGTCTCCAGGCATCTTTGCTTCACCAATATAGAAGCATAGTAAACTTTTAAGAAAGATAAACTTCCCTTTTGCAAGTTGGGTTCTTTGCATATCATAGTAAATATGAGAAATATGTTGGGTTAGAAGAGAGGGGAACACATTACCTAGAGTGATATAAACAGAAAAAAATGCATAATCACTTATTGCATTTTGATTTTTCTCTACCCAATGCATAGTAGCTGGAGGCTTTTCTTTCATGACAGTTATAGCTGGAATCATGCCTTTACTGGATGTGTGGGTATGGAGTTAGTGCCTGTCCTTGCAAGGTTTTAAGCCTCACAGGGGCAATGATGATATTGTTTCACTTTCCACGGTGTGGCTGGCATCTAGTTCATGTTCTGCAAATATGAATAAAGTGACATGTTCCATAAGAGAAGGGAGGGCCTAAATATCTACAGCAAACTCAAGGAAAACCTTTCGGAAGAAATGGCAGATAAGGTATCCTTAAATGGTGGTCAGTATTTCAGCATTCAGATATGAAAGATTACATGGTACAAACTATAATTATAGAACAGAGTATATTTCATTGCATTCTAATCCTTTAAAAGTTGGTAACCTCTGTATATGAGGTAACTTCTAAATAATCTTTTAAAAATTACAGTTAGTTAGATCTGCTTACCCTAAAGCCAGTCTAGAAAGAAGTGGGTTCTATTCATATGAAACATAGCAAATAGGAAGGACTGGGAAGTCTTTGCCACCAAAGGATGTAAAGAGTTAAACATTATTCCAAGAATGTTAGCTTCAGAGACCAGCAGGCACAACCTCATTTTGATTAAAAAAAGAAAGAAAAAAACACTGAGCAAGAGAAGGGCTTGAGTGAGAGATAAGAAGCTCTCTTTCCATCTACCTGCAAGGTAATTGATGAGGTAGCAAACTTAGAGACAACTCCTAGGCATGAGGCAGTGTGCTGTGCAGAACGAGCTTTGATTTTAAATGAATTTATGTTTTTCCCTCAGTTCTACCACTTACTAGCTGGTGACTTAGGGCAAATTAGTTAAACTTACTAAATCTCAGTTTTTTCTTTAATAAAATGAAGAAAATAAAATTCCATCGACTTTCTGTGATAGATAAAATAATCTATGTAAAAGGGACTAGCACAAAATCTAAACCAGTAGGCACTAAGGAAACACTCATTTCCCTCCACCCTTTTATTGTCTACTTGCTCTACTTTAGGTATGAGGTTTGCTCCTTTGCAGGAATATACTTATTCCTTGGCACCACATAGGCTCATTGTATGTCTCCAAGTCTGGAAGCAAATATTTAAATACAAAAGTGTCTGGGCACCATGGCTCATGACTGTAATCCCAGGACTTTGGAGGCTGAGGTAGGTGAATCACTTGAGGTCAGGAGTTTGAGATCAGCCTGGCCAACACGGTGAAACCCTCTCTCTACTAAAAACACAAAAATTAGCTGGGTATGTTGGTGCACAGCTATAATCCCAGCTACTCAAAAGGCTGAGACGGGAGATTCACTTGAAGCCCGGAGGCGGCGGTTGCTGTGAGCCAAGATCGTGCCACTGCATCCAGCCTGGGTGACAGAATGAGACTCCATCTAAAAATAGAAAGGAAGGAAGGAAAGGAGGGAGGGAGGGAGGGAGGGAGGGAGGATGAGGAAGAAAGGGAGAAAGAAAGAGATGAAAGGCAACCCAATGAGTCTAATAGTAGCACTAAATTAGTTTAATCTGCAGAATTGAACCTTGAAAAATCAAAGCTTGGAATCTTCACTTTTGTAAAATGCCTAAAACAATTTATCCATCTGCTCTGCCTTCTCTTTTCTTTCTTCAACTTGAAAGAATTAAAAGTCAGACTTACAGCTCAGATACAGGTTACTTTGTACCAAATTCTCTATCTACGTAGACAAATTCAGCCAGGTCCTGCGATGCTGGGGCAGCTTTCACTGTGGGAGGAGGTGGCTGGAAGTGCTGTGGAAGTTACCGCTTATCACAGGGTGCTGAGAAGCAGCATGTTCTGCCGTTCTCACTATTAAGCTTGAAGTCAGGAGAACTCTGCCTGAGTCCCTGGTCTGCTGCTGCCTAGGTTAGTGATCCAGAACAGGACCTATTAACTTTCTCAGTCTCCAAAGGAAAAAGCTTGCCCCTTGAATAGTGCTGACCTAAAGTAAATACTCAGTAAAGGTTCACTGAATGAATAAATGTTACAGAAAATGACATTAGTGATTGTGTTCTATGTATTTGTGCTGTGGTCCCTTAAAACTGTGGATGTAAGTCCACAGTCCAGATTAAGCCAAACTCAGTTAAGTTAGCCCACAGCATTTAGCTAGGAATATATGTGCTCCTGTTACACAATGAGAATAATTGGCCTCGAAGCCTGACACATCGCTTGTCATCTTGAATGTCCCTTCATCATACAATTCCTCAACGGCTTCATATATCACCTGTCAGGTGATCTTCCAGAGAAGCTTGACTTTAACAGTTTGTTCTGTGGTTCCAATGATGAATGAGATGGGTTAGATCATTTAATTCACTATATGGCACCCAAATGTTAAAGCTGAAGGAAAAGAGTATCTGACAAATTGTTTGTTGTCATTAAGGTTTATTTCTCATATGCCTTTGATGGTTCCCCTCACCTCATTATTGTCCAACACACAAAGCTAACGATTATAAGGAAGACAATACTTAATGGATGCTAGACAAATGATAGTTGGAGCTGTCTGGTGCATTACCTGATGAGTGAGAGCCAAATTATAATGTCATTAGATGGGATGCCTCAAGTTATTATAAAGTTGTGCTTCCCACAATGTCCTTGCTTTATCCTCAGCATGGTTCTTCCTGGCATCCGTTTTCACTCAGCAGCTGCCTTGTTTCCGTAACAGCTGAGACCAAGTTTTGAATCCTCTGTTATGCCAATTTTAAAATGTCCAACCAAAACCAAGAATGCGTATTTTGAGTATTACTGTCATACAAACAGAAGCCTTAAGAAAATGAAAATGATATATTTTACAAATGCAGCCTTTAAAAATTCAGAACAATACAAATAAAAACATTCTATAATTCACGGGAAGATTGGGTATATGGAGCCCTAAGTCCCCATTTATAAGTCCCCATTTTTCTCCAGGTTGTTCATATGTCCATTTCATACCCAGTCCTTACAACATATTGATGCTCAGTTAATAATTCAAGATGAATGAATGAATTTATGAATGAGAGGAAGTACATTCAAATGTACATATAGAAACATACTAAAAGCATGTTAGTGTAAAGTGTTTTGCGGACAGGTTGATTGTAAAGAAAATGAATGTCGCTTCTTCCACAAGGAAGTTAGGATTTCTTGGCATTTGTGTTTACAACAAATAAATAACCTTGATTATTATTTAAAATAACTCCATAAGTTTACTTAAACTTTGTCAGATTTTAACAATACCTGACAAACAGAGCTCTGTATTTGTCTGTGTATATGAAGAGCAAGCTTTGTTATATTTTGGAATTAGGTAGGTCAACCAGCTGACTCACTCATTCAGTGACCGTAAATGTTGTATAATGCATTAATGACTCCTTAAATAGGGCTCAGAAAAGTACCACCCTAGTTTCTTCTACTAAGTAGCATACTTCAAATATAATTTTTCTGTTTCACTGGTTGTGAATACTACTAAATCAGATATATCTGGGTTTAAATCCTGGCTCTACCAATTACAGACTTCTTCAACTCTATACCTCACTTCTTCATCTTTAAAATGAAAATAAAAATCATGCCATCAAAGATTTGTTATGAAAATTGTTTGCCTGTAAAGAATTTAGAACAGTGCCTGGCACTTAGTAGGTATTCAATAAATGTTAGCTAATATTGTAGAGTTGTAATTAACCTTAGTCTTGCTATTTTCCAAAGTGATAAAGTAGGAAGGATGAAAGCCTCCTAAAACCTTGTACATCCATCTTTAGGCCCTACCTGGCCCCTAAGCCAGTGCAATCCAAAAGAAATATAAGAGCCACATGTATAAGTTAAAATATTTTAGTAGTAGCATTAAAAAAGGTAAAAAGAAACATAAAATTAATTTTAGTAATATACTTTCTTTAACCCTGTATATCCAAGAATAGTATCATTTTAACATGTATTCAACATAAAAAATTGAATAAAGTATTGTACTTTCTCCTTTTCTTACTAAGTCTTCAAAATCTGGTGTGTATTTTATACTTACAGCACATCTCAATTTGGGAGCTGAGTTTTGATTAGGAAGAGTTGGTTTAGATTACATAAAATTTACCGTTAAACACACATCCAAGTTGTTTCAAAGATATTTAGAAGTTTTTTAATTGAATCTAGTTCCTGAATTTGTATTTAAATTCAAATTAATAAACTCAGCTTGTCTGTTCCTAGTCATATTTCAGATTCAGTGTAGTTCCATGTGGCTGGCACCACCCATGTTAGAGCACACACTGTGAGCAATCTCGAGTTTAACATACCCTACCACTCCACCTGCCATAAAGCCGAGCTGTGTTTTGAGCTCCAGTGTTCGGATACAGGAAATTTGAGCAAGATGGTACAAAGAGAAGAGGCTGAGTCTACATGACAT